TTGTACAATATATATTCAGCATATTTAACTTAACCTGTTTAGTATCTTTATTATTTAATGCATAGCGATTTATCAAAACAAGTTTATGAGAGTCATTAAAACAAGTTTATGACTGCGACAATTTAATCTTGATCAACAACATCAATGAATTGCAGCGGCTTCGGCCGTTATTAGATCATTTTAAGACGTCAAATAGCCTTCAATTTGTAGGTTATAACTGCATCTATTTTATTTATTAATTATTTTATTTATTTTAATGTGGATCCCACACTCTAGTGTTAACCTAATATAAATGTGCTCTAGTCTATTATTCATATTCAAATGTTTGTGCGGAAAAGAATTAATGCTTAAGCATGACAGGGAGGAGCCTGCGCGATCACTTGCATTTTTTTCCTGATAATGAAACAACTTAAAATTGGGGTGCCTTACATAGGCTACATGAGAAATATATCTAAAGAAAGCTTGTCTACTTTCAAACGAACCAATTCAAAATGAAATCAAATAGGCTACTCCCTGATTATATAATCTGTGAATGCATTTCTCTCTAAAGGCGCGTCCAGTGGAGATTTCGTGAATTTCATCTTTGCAGCCGACAGGGACTCAGAAAATATTATTTTATTAATAAATAATTAAAATGTCTAATTTTTTTTCATAATCATTAGGCTACTTTTGCCTGTGTTTTGTGGCAAACTTTATGCGTGTACTTGAGCGCGGAATTATGGAGTATTATGTTAATTTAATATAAACGTGCGATTAGTAATGGCTTAAATGAACGACTACTAACTGGAAAAATCTTTAGTGGGGGGCAGCCCTATGAAAATACCCTCTATCTCTGTTAAAGTTTTTAAATCATTTTATAGGCCTACGCATTTCCTAGTCGTATAAATTCGTATAGCCTATATTTTTACAAAAGGCCTGTCATATATTTAGAATATTTTACTTAACCTGTTTTGTATCTCAGTTATTTAATGCATAAGCAAGTCATTAAAACATTTTTTTCAGCGGCATCCGTTTAATCTTGATCAACAATATGATCAACGAATTGGAGGGCGCTGGTCAGTTAGATCATTTTAAAACGTCAAATAGCCTTCAATTTATAGGTTATAACTGCACCTGTCTCGGATGTAGACTGGTGAGGATTTATTTTAATGTGGATTCCAAATTCTATCTTTAACCTATAGGCTATAAATGTGCTATATTTTTAGCCCGTGTTCAAATGTTTGTGCAAAATATTAATGCGCATGCATTAAAAAGGGAGGCGCCCGCGCGATCACTTGCATTTTTTTTCCTAATAATGAAACAACTTAAAATCAATTCAAAACTGATTTTATTTATGTAAATTCATAATAACAACAAAACGTTGTGCTTTTGTAAAATAACGAAAACAAACAGGATGCGTTTCTGCCGTCTCTCTCTCTCTGTGAACTGGAGCGCGTCTCCAAAAAGAACCAAAACTCAGAATGTGTGTCTCACATAGAGAAATATATCTATATAAATGTTGAAATGTCTACTTTTAAACTAACCAATTAAAAACAAAATTAAACACTCCCTGATTATGTATGATGGTTGCATTTCTCTCTAAAGGCACATCCAGTAGGCTACTGTGGAGATGAGAGTCAGCACCGTGAATTTCATCTTGCAGCCGAGATGAAAACATTAGTTTATTAATAAATAATTAAAATGTCCCCTTTTTCTATACATTAATAATCATTAGGCTACTTTTGCCTGTGCTTTGTGGCAAACTTTATATGTGTGCTTGAGCGCGGAATATATTGAAGCTCATCATGGATTAGTAGGCCTATTGATTTACTATAAATGCGCGATTAGTTGAATAACCTAATGGCTTAGACGAACGACTAGTTAACTAGAAAAATCTTTAGTGGGGGGCAGCCCTATTAAATACCCACTAGACGTCTCTGTTAAAGTTTTAAAGCATTTTTATAGGCGTTTTCATAGTCTGATAAATTCCACTTTCAGAACGGTCATGTCTGTAACGGAGAGATGTCACGTGCGTAACATTGATTTTTCCTGTGAAACACAAAAACGAAAATTTAAACAAAATTGATATTTTATGCTTTGTAAATAGCTTCTGGATTGTGCATTGTAAATCGCAGAAAGTCTACAAAATATGTTGTCTCCCAGAAACTCGTGTCTTTTTTTTGTCACGTCCATAACGCATGTGTTTTTCCCTCATTTAAAATATAAAACAAACAGGTTTATAGATTGATACTTTTCTGATGTCTGGACTCCATTTTAAGCGGTTTAGAAAAACATGAAGAGATGGTTCAATATATTGGTAATAAATATAATTTATGAGAATTTATAGTTATTTCAGGTTTTGACTGCAAATTTCACGTCCGTAACTCAATTTCAACATTTTGAACAATAGGGCCCTACAAACTTTTTCTTTCTTTTTTCCCCATAAATTCTTGTTAAAATTTTTCTAAAAATCAAATGAAGGCATTAAACATTAATTTTAAATCAAATGAAAATTAAACACTTATTTTTTGGCAAACAAGCTGAGGTTTACTATTGAAATGAATACATGCAAGAAAAATTGTGTGAATATTCCTTTAAAACATTTTTTAATGGGCTAATCATTGTATTATTTTTTCTACAATTAAGTGATTAATCTGGTTGTAATATTAATTTTTATCATTTAATTTTGAGACATCACGTCACAGGGTTTCTCTTTCTCTCTCTGTAGCGTATGTGCCCAGATGCTTTCTCAGGTACCGAAATCTGGCACCGATTAATTTAAAGTGAATCGGTACTTGGTAGTACCGACGCAATTTGCTCGGTACCCTTAAAAGTACCGAGTTCGGTACCCAACCCTACTGAGCAGACAGAGATGTTCAAAAGAGTGTTGTGCAGAAATTAGAGTATTACCTGTTGTTATTTATGCATCATAGCTCAAGTGCGTTAGTTCCCTGCCAGTTCCCTGCAGTTGAATATGAGCGATTCCTCCAGCGCAGCTTCTAAAGCATCAGGCTGCACCACAGAGCGCATGATGGCTGTAGTTTCATCCACCCACCTGACTGTGAAGTGTTGCCTAGCCCTGCGGATGTAACCCCAGAATCCCACGGCAACTCCCTGAGCCTGTGAATCATAGCTGTCCCTGCCTCGGCCTACACACCGCCAGCCACGCTGTGTGCGTCAGGCAGTCTGAGAGATGCTCTTTTACTGGGCCTCAAAAAAGACCTCCCCTAGCTGCTTCATCTTAGGCCTCTCCCAGCTGTCAGAAACCTGACAGCGGGTTTGATGTCTAACGTGATGTAGGTCTCAGCCTGTCAAACTATAGCATGAGTCAAGCTGTAGAAACGCAAAAATAGTGTGTTATGAATGCAGTTTCTGACACTGAACTCCAAAGTTTCTAAAACCTCAGTGAATTTATAATTTCTTTACTTTTTCTGAAGCTTACATAAATAACTAATTAAATTAGCACTCATAACACAGTGAAATATTATGTCATCTGTTTGCATTCTAGATTATGCCTTTTTTGTGTATGCTTTTATTTATTTATTTTTTTTACACTTGATTTACACAATGAATCAGTAAGTGTCCTGGGTTTCTATTAAGGCTGGGTGATCTGGAAAATTAAGTCTACTTGTCAACTTATATATTAGTGCTGTCAAAATTAGTGTGTTAACGCAGGTGATTAATTTTTTCAGTTTAACAGTGTTAAAAATATTTAACGCAGTTAACGCAGGGGCGGAGCTAGGGTTGGCCACCCCACTCACAACTGCTGGTTTTTTTCTCTTTTTTTCTTGACAGCAACAATTCTATTTCGGCAACGATTAATTTCAGCACTCCTAGTAATAAGTGAAGAGTGTATAATTACATGCAACTATATTTTTATTTTCACATTCTCCATTAAAAGACCTTCAAAATAATGTCGATGGAGTCAGCAATATCAATTTTGAGAAAAACACCATTGCATCTTTTCCTGCAGGTTATTTCTTAATAATAATTAATAATCACAATATAGCTATTTTTATTTTATCTTTGTTATTATAAATAATAAATAATAAAAAAATTATAATAAATAAATAATAAAAAAACTGTAGAACAAATAACCTATAAGAAACAAATGCATTTTTCATGTTACATCTAAACAAAAGCATTTAAGTAAGAAAAACAAATAATCAAATGTAAAAATCACTTCAGTGTGTTCATTACAAATAGATTATTAAATCTACAAAAACAGTTCAATCAAGAACAGCAAGTGATTCCCTCTTTTCTTTTATTGTTTTATTAACATTAATGAGACAGATGGCCTATATATTAAGACCTACTGTAATAAACTGATTTAATATAATGTTACACATCCAATGTTTTTCCCCAACAGTTCCCCAAACGTTCACTTAAGACATAACAGATTATGTTTGTGAATACTTAAATACGAGAAGCAAGAAGCGAGTGGAGAAAAGGTACTCCTCTCATAAAACGTACAAATAAAGATAATTTTAGATGTTTAATTCTTATTTGGAGCAACATTCACTTAAGACATAACTGATTATGTTTTGCAGAAATACTTAAATACTATAATTCTGTGTATATGTGTATATTTATCGGGATTGCGTGCTGGCAGAATCACCTTTTATGCGAGCGCTTCGGATGTCAATCAGCGCAAGAAGCGAGCAGAGAAAATGTACTCCTCTCATAAAATGTACAAATAAAGTTACTTTTAAATGTTCAATTACTATCTGGAGCATTTGGATCACTAGACGAGGGCTTACTGAACTAATTTAGGTGAAAACTTCAAATTTGACAAAAATTTTTGCTTGCAACTCAAAATTAGCCAGTGCACATTCTGACTCATTTTGCCAGCATGGGTCACATTTTATAAAACCAGCAAAATTCTTACAAATACTATGTGAATATTTAATACATCAGCCATAGTTTGTAGGATTGATTGACTGTTTCTAACAGCATGTTTGCGAGTATCCCAAACTATCCTGTTGCTTACTTTGCTGTATGTGTGCTTTTATTTTCCCCAGGAGGCTCAGAAGGTGAATAACCCTATGAACAGTCAGGCTGATGGCCAACCGAAGAACCCGAATGATAAAGATGACGCCCCAGCCAGCGAGGTGGGCTGGATGACCTCAGTCAAAGACTGGGCGGGGGTCATGATCTCAGCACAGACCCTTACTGGCAGAGTTCTGGTGAGACGGCTACACACATACACCCACCGCAACATCACCAGATGCCCACATACAGTACATCCCTTCACAATCACATTCAGAGCATATAATTCTCATTAATTTGTCACATGCTACAACACAGTTAGCACTCTGCGGGTGACATGTTTTTGTTTCTGTCAAGTCTAGAGGTCAAGATTATACCCAGATGATGATGTACGGGTGTTTTGTTAAATACGGTCTCATTAGCATGCCTCACGCAATAAAGGGCTTTTGGGAGTGCAGTAATACTTGAACGGTGACTCATGTGGGTGGCGCTCGTCATCGCAGCTGTTAGTGCTCGCACAGTGCTAGACACGGACAGGTCAATTAACTATGAACAATTGAGTCAATTTACCACATAATGAAGATCATTTACTTTGGGAACGTTATGCAAATGAGAGCAGTCCTAATTTTATGACCTTCAGCAAATTATGGACGAAATATGTTTTGCTTTGTGGTTTTATACCCTGGTGGGTCTGCATTTCTGAAAGCTTTAACCTCATACGCCAGTAGCATGTCCTTCATTTATTGTGACTTGAATATTTTTCTTCAGTTCTGCATCTCATCTTTCAGGTGGGGTGGCTGTTGTACATGACCAGATTGGGAAGCAGGGCTCTCAGTAGACCAGTCCAGCCTAGTGTTTCTCTTTTAGTGCATGACTGATCTGTAATGGGCCATTCATACTGACAGCAATTAAATCACTGACTGAAGGTCGCAGTGCTGTGGTCGCCATTAGACGTTCTTACTCGAATAGTGTCTAACTGTATCAGCAGACTATGAAATTAACTTCATTAACCACAGTGGCTGGTCAATAACAGCCTGATGTGGCCAGAGATTTTTATTTTTATTTATTTTTTCCATAGTAAAATATGCAATTATACTCGGAGCACCCCCTAAATAGGCTTTTCATGGAGTGTTCACAAATAAGATGCTGTCAGTTTAGAGAAATTTCACTGGCAAATTACATTAAGTAGGCTATATTCTATGTATTCTCTCCCACTTTATTTGCTTCTTATTTAGAACGCTTGATGATCATCTAATAAAAATAGCTAAATATATATTACAGTGACAATAAAAAGAGAACTGAAATGGGATGCATTTCTGGTTTGTTTCTGTCGGCTGCATGAACATATCAAAATACCATATCATTAGATTTAAATATGCAACTTTGCTGGATAACAAATGCATAAAAGTGAGCAACTGGATATAAACTATCATGACATTAAAAACATTGGGTAGGACTTGCAGCATCTAGTCAACAAATTAATTACTGTAATGATATGAAAACGTACAGTACAGCCACTCCAGCAACTGATTCAACCCAGAAAAACTATCGTTTTTTTTTGCCAATGACCAGTTGTTCCAGCAATCGGTTATCAGTGCCAATTAATCTGCAAATCCGATCAGTTGGTCAACCTTTAGTTAATACACATGACCGAGTTGAACCCATTGCAGAATGTGCATAGGGAAATCTGTTACTCTCTCATGAAATTCCAGATCACTTGGATTCCTATTGAAATAACTGGATTTTTAATGTGAAAAATCACCTGAACAATATTAACTGTGACCATACCATGAAAAGATCATAATTTATGTCATAATTTAGTCACCTTCATGTTGTTCCAATATGACTTTATTTTTAAAAAATACAATGGAAGTCAGTAGGATACGAAGCTGTTGGTTATGAGTTTTTCAGAGTGAGTGAAAAAGCTTGGGGTGGGAGGAAAAAATATTTTTCAGATTTTTTGCGTTCTCCCGCAAAACTTTTGCGTTCCCTCGCAAAACTTTTGCGTTCTCTCGCAAAACTAGTTGAGTTCGGACAAGCACTTCCTGTTTACTTTACAGATTGTATTGGTTCGTACGTTCTCAATGGAGCGGTTCATAGAGTTTTATTTTGAACTTGGACGAAATAGTCAGTGCATGCTTACGTAAAACACTGGAGGACTAAATTCAGTACACACCTTATTAATAAAGCATACAGACAAGCAGAATAGCCCAGAATATGAACGTAACCCGGTAAATTGCACGTTAAGTGTATCCCCCATAGAAAGAAAACGCTTAATTAATGGACTAAGACAGTGGTATAAAAAGGCCGAATTCAGTATACAGTTTATTAATAAAATATACATGAAAGCAGGTAAGCCCAGAATATGAACAGAAGCCTTTTCCTCCCATAAAGAAAACGCGGTTTAATGAAGATGGTGATAAAAAAACAAAAAAAAAACAAATATGCTATAGAAATTGTTAACAATATATTCTGTGTACTTGCAAGCAGAGAAGCCCATATGAGCTGAATTGCATGATAAGCATTTTCTTCCCCATAGAAAAACGCGCTTAATGTACGTGACTTAATATAAGAAGACAGAGATATAAAAAGCCCAAATTTTATATTTTATTAAAAATATACTACAGGTAATCAACGCAGTAAACCAGTAATCCAACAAGCCACTGGTTCTCAAACTTTTTACAGTGGCGTACCCCCTAGGGCATTCAGCCTAACATTCTTCTGAGTACCGCCACTTAGACCGCAGTCACACCTTTTCCAATAAGGGGCAATATTTGCTCCCTTAAATTGATTTACAGGTGCATTTTTACTTTATGTTTACTATAACTCATATAGTACGTGAGCCCATACTTTGTTTCGCTTTAAATTAGGTTTTGGCTTATTCTATTCTGGGCTTGTCTGCTTTCCTGTGCTAGGCTATATTTTATTAATTAACTGTGTACAATTTTTTGGTTTTATACCATCTTCGTCCATTAGCCTCCCTTAAGCGTTTTCTATAGCCTGTGGTTTTCTATAGGGGAGAAAAAGCTTAACGTTGCATTCATGGCTATCTGCTTTACTGATAGTAATGCTATTAATAAGGTTATTAATATTACAATTGTTATTCGTATGAATAGTATTTATTAATACCGAATTGGGCCTCCAATGTCACTGTTATATGAGCAATATCACTCGAGTACGAGAGCGATACCGGCTCTATATCAGCATGGCTGTGATTATGCCAGAGGCACGAGGCCGAAGGCCAAGTGCCGGAGGCAATCACAGCCGCTGATATAGAGCCGGTATCGCTCGAGTATGAGAGTGATATTGTGTTTATACAACAGTTCGATGGCACGAGTGTAAATATATATGAAAAACAACAACGGAGTGTCTTTAAAAACCTTTTTGTGTGGAACTACTTCCTTCCGCCACATATTCAAATCTCAGTTTGACAGTTTAACAGCTGAGCTGAAGCCTCCGTTACTAATTCGAAAACGTTACTTTAGAGCTAGTAACGAAGGAACATTGAGATGTTTCATTAAAAACGTATTGTATTAATTAAAAGCTCACTGTGTTATGTAGAGTATTGTGAGAGAGAGATGGACTGAGCGAGTGTGATTACCGCATCTGATACAGCATTCATTCTTCAGCTCAATCTAATATTGACGTAAAAGATTAGTTTCAATGTCCGCTGAGGAAAGCATTATCTTTGTAGTACTGTCTTTCATCTGTTAAGGGTGATTTCCGATGACAGCGCTGCTCAGTGTATTTGTTAACTGCGTCTTACAAGCTGTTATTAAAAATAACTTCTGTTTTAGTCTCTTTCAATGTAAAAGTCTTAAATGCTGACTCGTAAAGCATCTCTTACCCCATGACCCTCTCTCTGTGTGTGTGTGTGTGTGTGTGTGTGCGTGCGTGCGTGCGTGCGTTTTTTAATGAACTATCCTTTTAAGTTCATGCAAACTGTGATGATGTCATTAACATTGATAAATTTATTGGCATAAAGTTTTAAACTCCAATTGAATCGTGTTGCTTTGTCATTGCAAATCACTGTCAGTGTGAACATCTCTAAATTCTCAATGTAGTCAGTATAGCTACAGCATGAGTGACATTGGTGCTGAAACTTGTTATTGATTACTTCAGTAATCTGGACAAAGATAGTGTTCATTGCTTTACTGTCCAGTTATAATCCTCAGTTTAGTTGTATTCCAGCAGGTAGAGCCAAATACTGTGCTGTGTTTGCTGAAAGCAAAGTGAAATACAAATTAAGTGGATCTTTTTTTTGGACCACACAGATATTAATGAATGTTATTCCCATGGCTCCATCTAAGCTATTGATTTCTGTCCAAACAACTTAATGGGTTGGTTGTACCAGTGGATAATATTTCCTTGCGGTGAATGATGGAAAGTGATATTCTGGCTGGAATTCACCTCTAGACTGACGCTCAGAGACATTGTAGCAATGCACACAGTGCGTACCTGTCAGTCGTACAACCAGCATTACCTTGAAACTGAGCTCTCTGTGCCCTAACGTCCTTATCTACTGATGGAGCTGCACTTGTTTGCAGGCTTCCACATACCAGCTGGTTGTTCCACGATGTGAGTTTGGAAAGAGACTAAGTGACAGAGTGCACTGAAAGTTTATTCAGTCTGAATTGAGAGTTATGAAGTGTTTGGAGTGATGTGCATGTGAAGGTTTGCTGTTAGTCCTCCTCCTGTGGCCTTCTCCTGGCCCTTCCTTTAAGAGAATGCTCTATCAGTGAAGGTCTGTTGAGCAGGAGCATATTGTAATAGTGTGAGTGGGAGTGTTGTGTCAGGGCCGTGACTGTATCGTAAGTATTGTACCACCAAATGAAGGTCCAGCTGGAGCGCTACTTCACACCCGTAAATCAACTCAGTCTTTCATGGGCCAAGACTCTCTGCATCCACTGCACACTTATTTCATGTCTTTACATGACGACAATCTTTTAATCTCATGATCTCTTTTTTTTTTATTTCTTTTCTTTTCTTCAGACCGTAATCAGGTTAGACACCATATTGAATTTAACACAGATGAAAACAAGACTGTAAGGGATAAACTTACAGTCCTTGCACTGGTGCACACTGTATAAAGTTCCTAGATCACATAATTTTCACAACTCACAGCTTTCAAAACGGTTTTGTGGAGTTTTTTTTTCAGAAATGAGTTTCATCAGCTGGACAGTCGGTGTGTTGTTAA